CCGGCGATGTTTCCCGGGTGGTTTTGCACCTTGCTCCGAGCTACGCGGCTCCTTGGGGCATCAGAAATCTGGCCGCTGGTCCGCCTTGGCCAGCCTGGTGACCTGCGCTCGGGGACGGAAGAGCTGGGGCTGCAGAAGGTCAGGGCTGAGGTGTGCTTGGCAAATCTTCGTGCGTGTGCGTGGGTGCGCGGGGTATGCGTGCACTGGGGAAGGTTGTCCAGCACGTGGGTGCAGCCAGGGCTGTTAGTCTTGAGCTGAAATGAGTGTCTGGAAGAGTAGACTGAAAAGTTGAGTGGTGTAAGCAAACTAGAGGTGGGTACAGGCCATGGAGTAAAGACCCAGGTATACTAAGGCTCCCTCTCTACTAGTAAGCTAAAGGAGCCCGGCAATGTTCCCAGCCATGAAGCCAACTGGTATGGAGCAGCCCACATCTATGCTGGTAAATTATCTTAGCCTCCAAAACAGAGGAACATTGTGTCCAAGGTGCCTGTAGAGATGGCACAACCTAATCGCTAAAGATGTGGATGAGTTATTTGGGGGAGAAGATAAAGAAGAAGGTGCTCAATTCATGCTGGGGGGTGTTGTAAGACTTTACTCCCAGGGCTGGTTATGTTCCAGTGCTGGGAATGGCCCTGGACATGCTGGAGTGTACTGGGACAGATGCAGCCTGAAAGACCCAAAAGCTGGTATTGCTGGGACTGAGGATTCAGCCTACTGCTGGGTGGGGGAGAAAAGAGAAAAAGCAGTTACTTGCAAAAAATTGGATGCAGATCACAGGTTCAGAACATCCCCTCCTCTTTGAGTCTCTCTGAACCTGGGTGATGTTCTGGGTGTTTCCTGGAAGCGAAAAAAGCACTAACGCTTGCCTTAGCTGCGGAGGAAGGAGCGCATCCGTTTCTCTGTCAAGGCAGGGAAATTTGCGTAGAGTGAGGAGATCTTCTCGTACGGACCTACCCCCGGGGTAGGCGCTGCAGAGTGAGTGGGTTTGCTGTGTGTGCCTACTGAACAGTATGTATCACCACACCGTGGGGTGTCTTACTGCTGGTAGAAAATGGTGCTTAGTTACTGTATGTCTTGACGCTGTTACAAAACTGTATCGACGTGTTTTTTTCTACTAGTTCTCAAGGTTTTGCAGGTAGGTGTCATGGGACCAGCGTCCACGCTGTACCTGCGTTACCCCTCATGCGCTGGGTGAACGGTGCAGCCCTCTCCGCCTTAGGCTGCAGCTCTCTTGCCCTGTTGAGTAAAAGCATGGAGCGATGTTTGCCCTCCCCACAAAAGATGCTGCTGGACCAAGTGTGTTTTCAAAGAGTTATGACATCCCCGGAGGGAAGGCATTGCACAGTGGGTGCTATTAAGAGTATGTTCACTGATTTGTGGCAGTTGCTTTCCACAAAGCATTTCTGCCCCTCGAGCCATTGCTCTGTGGTAAACTGTATCCGAGCACCGTAAACGCTGACTTCTTAATGGTCCACACCGTAAACAGCATTAATGTTTTTAATGGGCAGAAGCACTCATCTCGTAACCCACTGGGGCTCCGAGAGGCTGCGTGACCCTGCCCAGCCTTTCTGCTCCGCTAAGGTCAAGCAGCTGCAGTGACTCCCCCCACTCCTGCATCCGCTGGGGTGAAGTGTAAGTGTACAGACCTGTGCCTGGCAAACCTTCAAGATCTAGAAGGTTAAATAAATAAATGACCCTGGTACCAAAGCACACAGAGGCCTGGCAAGGTTGTAGGTTGTCTGATTTGCTCCGGTTTACCCTTTGTGAGAGCTTGAAGCTGGCATTGGGAAGTAAATGCTGGCCCTCAAGAGTGAAGGGAGGGGGAAAGAGAATCCACTCTGAATGCTCATGGGGCTTTTTCTTTTTAATTTGCACACAGTGTTGAAAAGAGCTGCAATAAAGAAGAGCAAAAATGACCTGATTCATGCTGAAGAAGGTGAGGACCATTTCACAGACATTTGCTCCGTTGGTGAGTACTGGCTTTGCATTCCCCGAGATTTGGATCTCCACCTAAACATGTTCATACCATGTTTCCTCCGAGCGGCTCCTTTGCTCCAGAAGCTGCAGTTTCAAGAAGGAGAATTATCACTGCTTATGTGGCAGCACTCGACTTACCAAAGCAAATGGCTTCGTGGCTTCACCCTCTTCCCCACGCTGCCCTGCTCAGCTATTGCATGCCGCACCCTTTGGCAGAGCCCTGCCCAAACATTTGGAGAATCCGTGCTGTGTTGGCCATACTGGGATTCTGCTTGGAACATGCTCATTTATGCTAGTGAAGCCCAAATACATCAAATGATACTGCCAAGCCTCATCTGTTGTGGGGCGGAGAGGAGGTGGACGCTCGGTCACATCTGCCTCTAGTGCACAGTTGTATAGTTTTGCAGCCTTTGCCGTGTGAACGATTACTGGGAAATGCTGGGCAGTGGCCCTAACTCTCTCATTCTTGCCTCAGAAGAAGGTCTTAAAGCGATTCTCCACATTTTTAAAGCTAGATGTGGAGATATACACCTGTGGGCATGCAATGACCCACATACCTCCAATGGAGAGTGTGGCATCCTTCACAGCGTCACGCTGATAGTGCGCATTTGCTATCTTCAGCTCTGGAGAATAAGACACTGTCAGGCTACAGAGATACTGCTTGTTCTGCAGTTAACAGAGAGCTGGTTCCCTCCAGAGATGTTGCCAAGTGGAGAGGCAGGCCTGGTGCTTAACGAGGGGTGGCAGGCTCTGAGCACACAGCACCCCGTCTACGGGGAGCTCTTTGGACATCAACAGAAAGACCTTTCAGTCGTGGGTTTTTACTCGCTCTCTGGGCAGACTGACTGCTTTGGAGTTAGCTCTTTTGCTTATTCCTGTCCCTGTTGTTTGAGTCTGTATTTTGTTTTGCTGCTGAAGCAGCAGATGTTCTCATTATCTTCCAAAGAAATGTCTTGGCACCCCAGTTACCACAAAGCAGCAAATCCTGGATGCATAAAGTAGCAGCACTAACAGTACATGTGAGAGTGCGCGTCCATACATGCTTGCAAGCACAGGTCCCTCAGATCCTCTTTGGAAATTTGACATTAATATTTTAAGAGATTACAGCTGCTGCTGGGTTGGGGTTTTTTTTTCTCCCCCTTTAAATGAAGACCTGGTGGCAGGAAATTAATGTTGCTCAGCATGTTGCTGACACCACCACCCACTGTTGAACTGCGACAGTCCCCTAGGCTGAGCAGGCTGCAGGTTTTGTGGCTATACTGCTGACACTTTATGAGAGTTTTGTTGCTGAAAGAGGGCAAAAATGCAGCAACTGTGTGCATTTTTGTTTTGCTTTATTCTGAGAAGCTTGGATCCCTGCATGGATAACAAGGAACGGTCATTTTTTGAACATTTGTTCATGGTTGCAATAATTATGAGATCTTTGCATTCACATCCAAGTCCCTCCAGGCTCTGGGCACCCATGCCACGCAAACAGATCTTTGAATTCAGCATTTCAGGTGGCAACGAATGATGGAGCATCTGGACTCGTGGATAATCTGATGCAGAGCTGGGAACTGTCTCGGGAGCATATGGCAGGGAAAATAACAGCAGTGCTTTCCACCTTCTGCGAGTGGTTCACCCACTTGGGAAAAGTGTTTTTGATTTTGAATCATGGAACAAGGCAGAAAAGAAGAAATGGATAAAGCAGACACTTCTGTGGGCTCCTGAAAAGGCTGAAACTGCATAACATAAACAATCAGATCATATGGGCAATTATGCATAAAGAATATGTTTTTGAGAAGTGTTTTTTGGATGTTTTCCTATAATGCCTTGCTGATAGGAGCATAAGGACTGTGGAAGAACTAACAATGTAATTACTGAGTGCAAAGTGAAGATGCAGACCAGAGTGGTAGAGACTTTGACAGGTCTCTTGCTGGCCGTTGGCTGAATACGTTGCGCTTTAATTCAAACGCAAGTACCTCAGTGAGCCTTACAATTGCATTATAAAGCTCTACAGTGGTGAACACTTCCCAGTGTGTTCTCCGCAGTTGTTGTTAACGTTTCTTCTTTTCTTTCCTCCTAACTCTCAGCTTTCCTTCTTGCACTAATAAGTGTGCATTAGTAGATGCTGGGTCCTTCTGGCTTCCCATCCTCCACTCTGTACCAGACACAGGACACTGTCTTGATTGCCAGACGGAGAATTCTGGAGAAGTGGATGTTTTCTACATTTAGATCAGTTTAAATACTCCTTTTCCTTTTGGAAAGATCAGTAGAGAGGGCATGAAAGGGCAGCAGACTATTCTCATGCAAGTCAGAGTATAGACTGGCTTGAATATGTGAGAGGTCTTAACCTGTTAAACAGAGTTACAATACAGTGCAGCCTATATCTTAACCTGTAGTTCATTTTGTTGTCTTAAAGCAATAGATAAGCACTATGATTTTTATTTTTTTTTAACTGCCAAAGGGAGGGTTATCAAACTAACAGAACCAGCAAACCGAGCTTTTCTGCAAGGAATCATAGAATCGTTGGGTTGGAAGGGACCTTTACAGGCCATCTAGTCCAACCCCCCTGCACTCAGCAGGGACTTCTTCAACTAGAGCAGGTTGCTCAGAGCCCCGACCAACCTGACCTGGGATGTTTCCAGGGATGGAGCATTGACTATCTCTCTGGGCAACCTGGGCCAGGGTTTCACCACCCTCCTTGTGAAAAAATTCTTCCTTCTATCTAGTCTAAATCTGCCCTCTTTTAGTTTAAAACCATCACCCCTTGTCCTATCCTTACAGACCCTGCTAAAAAGCCTGTCCCCATCTTTCTTCTAAGCCCCCTCTAAGCCCTGGCAGCAGTAAGGTCTCCCCGGAACCTTCTCTGCTCCAGGCTGAACCCCCCCAGCTCTCCCAGCCTGTCCTCCCAGCAGAGCTGTTCCAGCCCTCGGAGCGTTGCTGGGGTCTCCTCTGGCCCTGCTCCAAGAGGTCCATGTCTGCCCTGAGGGCTCCAGAGCTGGACGCAGCACTGCAGGGGGGTCTCCCCAGAGTGGGGCAGAGGGGCAGAATCCCCTCCCTCGCCCTGCTGGCCACGCTGCTTTCGGGGCAGCCCAGGACATGGTTGGCCTTTGGGCTGCAAGAGCACATTGCCGGCTTATGTCCAGCTTTTTGTCCATCAGTACCCCCAAGTCCTTCTCCATGGGACTGCTCTCCATGCCTTCCCCCCAGCCTGTGCTGGTACTGGGGGTTGCCCCAACCCAGGTGCAGGACCCTGCACTTGGCCTTGTTGAACCTCCTGAGGTTCACAGGGGCCCATCCTTGAGCTTGTCCAGCTCCCTCTGGATGGCATCCCGTCCCTCAGGCAGGGAGCTGGTAACAAGGAGTTTGTTCAAAGCCTGGCCAGGGCTAGCTCTGCATTTGACGTCTTGGCAGATGGCCAGAAATGTGGAATGAAGCAAAGAGCTTGCTTTCTATTGGGGAGATGGTGCAGCATGCTCTTGTGTAGCTGTGAGGCTTGGAGAATCCATTGTTGTCACATCTGGATGCTTCATCCTTTCTATGAGTGCTGTGTTTGACGTTATTGCAGGATTAAAACAGGGTGAGATTCTCACTCACGAGCACACTGAAAAATTTGGCTGCCGCAGGCAGAACACTTTGTTCATGTAACCCCAAAGACAGCCCATGCAAGTCACCTGCTCTCATGGTGCTTGGTCCAAGACAGGACGGCGTGCGTCCTGGTCAGCCCTACCTGCTGGGAGGCCCTGTCCCGTGGTGGGGAAGGGCAATAGCATATTGCCTTACCACAAATCATCTTGAAACAAGGTTTGCTACCAATTTCCGAGGGGTGCCAGCACAGCGTGAAACAGGTAGCAGACAGCCTGCGGCAATCACAATTTGCCCTGTTGCAACAGCATCTGTGGCCATTGCAGAGGAACTCCAATGGATGCCTGTGTTCGTTACTAATGTGTGCTGATTTCTCCTGCCTCAGCACTGGCCGGAGATTGCCTTTTCATCACTCGTTTGAACAGTGCCTGCTACCACAGGGGGAGAGCTTACGTTAGAATTAATTTCTTGCGTCCGCTTCCTACTGTTAAAACATTTGCCTCTTTTCCAGGGTTTCAGACCAGAGTCGAAATGTAGCTGATATAGGCAGAATTGACACAAATGAGTAGCTGTGCCCAAAATATGATGCATGGAGGCAGATTGAGACCTCTGCTGTAGAAATGCATGAAGTAAGAAAGTAAAATAAAGGGACTTCACTCAGTTCAGTAGTAATGACTGGGTCTTTGCCAGGTCCTTGGAGCAGGGGAAATAGGGATCAGCTTACCTGTTGCCAGCTACCCAGCTCTGAGAGGATGTGCTCACACCATAGGCAGATACACCACTATGCCTGGTGCTTTCTGTCCCTCCAGTCAACTAGGAACCCAAAAGTTGAGAGTTAAACTGGGTCAGTCAAGATTGCTTCAAAGGGCTGGAATCCCAGTTTCTTTAGTGGTGGAGCTGGGCATTCATTCATGAAGTTTTAAAATCCCAGCCTTTCATCCCTCACGACGTCATTGCAAGCGAGATGCCCTTGCTCAGTCCATGGTCAATGTGCCCAGCTTTCTGCTCAGCTGCGTTTCCAGTGCTTTGGGGAAGGGTCTGTGTGTCCAGGAACGTCCTCTGGCTTTTCATCTGCCGGGATGTGGTGTGGTGACTCTTCTTTCTGTCCCAGGGTCTCCTTTTGCTCGTGCCAGTTTGAAGAGTGGGAAGAACGAGAGCTCGTCCTACTTCAGGAGGAAAGAGAAAATGTTCCGGTTCTTCATTCGGCGCATGGTGAAAGCTCAGAGCTTCTACTGGATCGTCCTCTGCGTGGTCGCCCTCAACACGCTCTGCGTCGCGATGGTGCACTACGATCAGCCGGAGAAGCTCACCACTGCGTTGTGTGAGTATCGGGGACTCCGCCTTTCCTCTAACGAGACCTTGCATTTTTGGTCACTCTGAACACTGCTGTCACATCCCCACGAGGTCTGGTTTTTGGCTTCCTATGCCTCCCTCAGAGGAGGGTCAAAAATGCATTAATGAGTGGTTCTAGTAACTCATGAGTAATTGAGTCATACAAATCAGAGAAAATCCACTAGGACATGATACTCGTTTGAGATGGGAATATTATTCTAAACTTATCCTGATATCTGAAACTTCAGATTCAACCACGTTTAAACTTTGTGACACAGCAGGAGGATTTGTTCTGTAGCAGGCTTTATGAAAAGGAGGGGGAACGGCTCTGTGTTTGGGTAAAGGCAGGTTTCTCTGTCTTATCAGCGTCTGCCCAGAGAACTGCAGAATTCATGCCACTTTGCAGCTGATCTGCATCCGAAGGTGATTTCTGTTGTGGACATACTGAAAGCTCTGCCAGCTCTGATGTTGAAGGGATAGCAGCACGTGCAATGGCCAGTGCTACCTGGGAGATAAAAATGTCTATCTTTGCTTATAGAATCATATATTAATTCACACAGAATCACACACAGAATCACTAAGGTTGGGAAGGACCTTCAAGATCATCAAGTCCAGTCATTAACCCAATGCCACCATGCCCCCTAAACCATGTCCCGAAGCACCACATCCACACATTTTTTGAACACTTCCAGTGATGGTGACTCCACCACCTCCCTGGGCAGCCTGTTCCAATGCTTGACCACTCTCTCGGTGAAGAAATTTTTCCTAATATCCAATCTAAACCTCTCCTGGCGCAACTTGAGGCCATTTCCTCTTGTCCTATCGCTGGTTACTTGGGAGAAGAGACCAACCCCCACCTCACCACAACCCCCTTTCAGATGATTGTAGAGAGTGATCAGGGCTTCCCTCAGCCTCCTCTTCTCCAGACTGAATACCCCCGGTTCCCTCAGCCGCTCCTCATCAGACTTGTGCTCCAGACCCCTCCCCAGCTCCGTTGCCCTTCTCTGGACACGCTCCAGCACCTCAACGTCCTTCTTTTAGCGAGGAGCCCAAAACTGAACAAAGTGTTCAAGGTACAGCCTCACCAGTGCCGAGTACAGGGGCACAATCACTGCCCTGCTCCTGCTGGCCGCACTATTGCTGATACAGGCCAGGATGCTGTTGGCCTTCTTGGCCACCTGGGCAATTCACTACAGTTGTAGCAATTATTGTAATGCTCTTTAAAAGGTTGCAACTTTACAGGTCTTTTTTGGTAACCATGCCTTCCTTACTAATGGTGTGTGATAAATGGGATAGATGTCATGATGCCCTTCTGTGAAAATATGTACAATAGTGATAGAAATAACACCATACAGAAGGTTATACTATATTTGTGCAAACAATTTTGTTTTAGCTTGGTTCCTGTGGTCATCTATCAGTTCAGGCTTCACATAGTCTATAAGTGCTTTTGAAGTTTGATTATTTTTTTTAAATTGTATATTGTTTTGTCCTATGATGAATAATAAATGGAGGCAGCTTTCTGCAGTCAGAGCCTTTACACATCATGGTGCTACACTGAGGTTGCAGACTTGCTCATAGAACCTGTTTTAAAAAAATATGGAAAGTGAGGGACGGAGCTTTTCTGTTTATTTTAATGAAGGTTGTAGGCTATGACTCCTAGACCTGGAAAACTTGTGGAAATTGGTAGAGTAAGAATATGGTGACACCGAAAGTGGGAGTTTTTCCTATTGAAAGGAAGGGATAGAGGGCTGGTTTCTGGAAGACAGAGCTGTTACATTGGCCACTTTTGACTCTATGAAGCAGCCAGGAATGAATCTTTTGTTCAGCACTCGATATTCAGATATGGCTAGTTCAGAACTTGTTAAGTAGAACTTCTGAAGCAAGCAAATGGAAGATGAGGAAAAAGAACCCAAAATATTTCAAACAGTCTATCTTAATAATTTTGGCTTAGATCATTAAAGATACTTCTCTATCTGATTTTCCTTGATTTCTATATCAATTAGGTACTTAAATATTTCTAGCCCCATATCCTTAGGTCTTACCTTGTTATAAGGAAGTAAACTTTTGAAGTTTTTTTTTATAGACCTAAGAGGTCAAGAACACTAGCTGCTCTAACTTCAAAAAACTCCCTATTAATGTTTACTGAAATATTTAATACCATCAGGTAACTGGAGCTATAATGAGAGATGCATAAGAAGGACAGAAACTTCTTTCAATGCTGGGTTTGTTTGTGTGCATTTTTGGGGGGGTTGTTCTTTTTTTTTCCCAAGATTTAGACTGAGAAGAGAGACAGGCTACACAGACAGGTTAGTCTTGCTTATTAATTTCCTAAACTTAACAGAGGAAATAATAAGGTAGATTGGCAGAGTAATTAGAAGTTTGAGGCTTAGGATTTCCTCTTGAATTAGGACTAGATGTCTAGAAAAAAAACCACTTTAAGTCTCTCAACTCAAAAAAGAAGGCTTCAGGTTTACAAACTCAGTTTCAGGAACACCTTATACATTTCTAAGAGAACATAAAGAAATCCATGTGCCAGTAACTTCTACTTAATGTTCATATGAGAGCTGAAAGTGATGTTTCTGTTGATTAGAATTAAAGGTACACCTCCAGGTGGGAAACGTATCTGGGACAGAGGCCACAAATTAGGCTCCCAACCTACCTTGGCTGAAGACAAAAAAATAGGGAAGAATGAAATTGTGTTGTGCCTGGGGTCAGGGATTGGGGTGGATCCTTCTGCCAGGAGCTCTGCATGTGTCCATAATACCAAGTATCATGAATTAGTTTCAGAAATATTTGAGGAGCATACTTTAATTTCTTGGTGCTGGGTACCACCTAGCTAAGAACGAGTCATCTCATTGACTTATTTTTAATGGAAAAGTCAGCAAAACACCAAACAACCATGTATTCTAGGGTGTTAAATCCCAGGCATCCTCCCAGCCATAGGTGCTTTCCTGTGTCTTGTCTGCCATTTTATGTCTTTGTGTCACTGCCATTTACTTGTAAGACTTAAGTGTCCTTTGTCAATAAGGAAACACCTGGACAGATGTTTCACAAATCAATCCCTTAGATTCACTAAAAGAAATACTAGTGGCTATGGAGAAACACTGCTGGAAACACCACTGTAATTGGTGAGAGGCAACATAGAGGTGGGTCACAGACAAAACCAGAATATCTGAGAAATCATAGGTTTTGTGGCTGTTCTCATATAGGTATAAGCATTGGGTCTTGAAGTGGAGTGGTACAAGATTAGCCCCCATGACAGAGTAAAAGTCAGAGGTGCAGAATGGATGCTTGTCATGGAAATTCTAAGATACTCTAGATAATTGTCTCTTGGTTTTTTGCTTGTTTGTTTTCTTTTTTTTTCCCAAAGAGAGTTTTCTCCAAGACAAGAAGCAGAGGTGTCATGGGTTCATTCTGGGGAGGATTGTCTCTGGTATGTCTTACGAAGTAGTGTAGTGGAAACTCTGGGAAGAAACATATTTTAATGTCATTTTAGAACAAATTGCTTCTGAGAATTGACCACTGAAAAGGCTTAGAAGCTCAACCACTTAAATTACATGAGTCCCATACCTCCAAACTCTGCCAACTTTTCAGGATGAGGAGCTGTAGTATTGTATTCACGCCTGTCCTTGCATCAGTAATGACCTGAAGGTTTCTGCCTGCTTTCCTGGGGATGGTATAGTTTTCATAGCATAATTATTCCTGCTAATCCAAAGTTTAATATTGAATGCAGGGAATATTTTACACCTTACGGTACGTGGGACTTTGTGTGGACTAACTGGTTGTTTTGTTGTTACAATCACAGTAAGGCTGGACTTGGCTCCTCTCACTCCTGCACGCACTAAACTGCAGCCAGCCTGATGAACCCTGCAGTTAAACACGCTTGTGAATGAGCCCAGCTGTGGTTTAACCCTTAAGGAGTGCTCTTTGAAAGCCCTGTTCTGCCCAAGATTAGTGCACAAATCCATTAAATATAGGCAGAACAAGACATCACAAAACCAGGGGATTTTAAAGAGCTCCTGGAAATACTTGGCGAAATCCTTTAACTATAAGAGTGACAGAGTTTAAAAATGGCTTGAAAGTTAATCCATGATGAGTGAACTTTGCTACAGAGAAGCAGGACTCGGTTAGTCTGCTGTAGAGCAGGAGAGAAATAGCCAATTCTAATTATGTTGTTTCATGGAAGGTGCTTAGAAATGAACTGATGAGGAGTTTTGTGAACTGTAGCAGCAGGAGAGGAGTGCATTAAAGTCTGGGAGGATCTGCTAAACCCTGAAACTCTACCCAGGCACCTCTAATTCAATTATACCTGTTCCTCCAGAGAAACATTTAATTACATTACAAATTAATTTTACTTAAAGAACGGTTGGTAAAAGCCTGCATTGATTTATTTTTCCCTTGGACTTTTCTTTTAACTTTTCTGTTCTTGAATTGTTCTGATTAGCTTTCTCTGTTTGATATTCCATACTGATGCAACTGCTTTGGAAAAGGAACTGTAGGAGCTTTAGAAAGGGGCTTGGGATTTCTTTAGTCTTACTGAAAGAGTTGATGAGAAAGTCTTTGAATTCTTTGGCTATGATGATTAACGGGACATACTTTATGCCCCTGTAATTATCCCCAAATTAGATCAGGGATTTTCCTTCTCTATATGTCCAGTGCCAAATTGCAATAGGAGTTTTCTCGTACTGCACATGGACACATGGCATGTTCTGCCCACTGAAGCATGGGCCTTCAGTCAAATAAGTTGCAGTTCCCTATAAAAGTATATATTTCATGGAGCCATCCATGATTGTCATCTGTTTGCTCTAATTTCCACCATTGCCAGTATTCTCAGAAAGAAGAAACTTCTGTCAGAAGACAACTCTGTAATGTAACCTAGGAAAGCATCAGTGAGATCTAGTAGTAGCAAAGATGCATCTTCAACTGGGGGCCAACAAACCAACAAAATCCATAACGTGGGCACACAGTAGAGGTGCAGCGTTAAGGGGTTTTCAGTCAGGACTGTGCCTTTTTAAAATACATGCTGTAGCTTGAGCAGAAGTTGCAAGCATGATGTGGGAAGAGCTGAACACATTTGCGTGCCCTATGCTGTGCAGGAGGCCAGCAGAGATGGTGCTGGTCTCCTGTTCCTCTGGCTAAAGCTGTGGAAGAAGGCTGGAACCAGAGCTCTCTGGCTTCCACGGGGTGAGCTTTAGGGACCATGGTGAGAAGGTTTTAGGATTTCATTAATGAGGTTTCACTTGGGAGCCCTCTCTTCAGGCTTCCCTTCCCCTGTGGCTGCCCTTCACGAAGCAGCGCTCTCCATGTTTCTCCAGCTTAACACTACAGTGATCCTTAATTTGCTCCTAAATTTATATCTGTCTGAAAATAAGATCCAGAATGTCTCCTTTCTGATAAATACAGTATTTGAAAACAGTATTTTAGCCATTACGGCCTAAGAACGTTTTCCCTGTGTGCCACGCAATGCTGAACAATGTGTTTGGTACAATTAGGCTTTTTTTGATGATGTTATGTTTGTCTTTGAAGTAGATAGCCAGCTCCCTCCGGATATAAATATGCAGCATTTGCAATTGTGAGGAAAAGGCTTTCTGAAACGAGAATATTTATTTATGTCTGCTGAACATTTCACGTCTGCTTTGTCAAAGAGGAAGAAGATGTACTTCGCCGAGGTTGTCCTCCTGTTTGGTTTAATGTGTGAGGAGGATGAAGAGAGGAAACCAAAGCAACAGCCTCTGCACCTGCTCCTAATGACATTGGACTTGGAGACTGGACAGAAATGGGATTAATCCATATGTGATTGACAAAAAAGAGATGCTAACTATCTAATTCAAACGTATGGGTCAAAAAGGTGGTAGCACGGCCTTTGCCAATAGCACAAATTTGAAATTGAATAAGAGTATTTGTATCAAACTTTTTTTCCTTAAATTACATTACAAAATGCTTCTGCTTAAGGCAGATTAAATTACATGTGGGATCTGAATACCAGGAGGTCCAAACAATGAAATTGCATTTTCAATTATATGGGCAGGGCCACGTCAGAAGAAATCGTGTTTCTGATCTGTCCGCTGGAGAAGCTGATTCATTTCAAGTCAATTCCTTCTGCCCCAGGAGTTCACTAAGTCCATATTTTCCGTGCCTCCATGCCTCCATCCCTTGTCCTCACAGTGCTATGATTTGTAGGATCTGGTACCTGCTGA